CAAGCATCACCAGAAGACCTTGTTCAAACTCAGATTCTTTGGGGGTAGAGTCTGAGATCCTGCACTTCTGACAAGCTCCTAGGTGATGCCTGTCTTTCTAGTCTGGAGGCCATATCAAGAGCTGACAAACCTTTCTGTAAAGCCCAGCTAGAATTATTTTAGGCTTTATTGGCCATACTGCTCATCTTCGCTGTTGTATTGTGTCAAAGAAGCCAGAGGCAACACTCACAGGAACAGGCATAACTGTATCCTAATAAAATTTTATTTACAAAAACTGGCAGAGCACTGGAGCTGACCTATGCATCCTAGGTTTACTCACCCCTTGTTTAGATGACCCCTTGTTTCACATCAGCCCAACTATTAAACCTCAGGTCACTTTGCTATTACAAGTTTACCAAAAGTGATTCCAAAAGTTTATCAGAAAATATTTCAATCAATAAGTTGGTGCCCCTTAAACAACTGTATAAATCTTTTAAGAACTGCTGAGTCTGAGAAGCCATTTCCCAACAAGACATCATAAAAATAATTGCATGTGAAGATAAAATATTCAGAGATTCTATTTATTTTCTTTGGAGACTAAACATAATATGTATAAATCCATCAGTTGGTGAATGAATATCCTCAGAATAGTTATTTCATGGTTATTACTAAATTAGTCACAGCAATGACCTGCTGGCCTGGGAAGATGCAGGCACTGGGAGATACTCTTCCCGCTTTCTGTAGTGCCTGTCCCCATCTGGGGCAGGCTGGGTCCAGCTCTCGCTTCCTGGATTGGCTCTGGGGGGAAGCTGGTCTTCTCACTCTCCTTTATCAAGGACAGTGTCTAAGGGTGTAGCATGAACCAGAGCTGCACTGATGTCCTCTGTTTCCAGAAGGAGACCCGAAGCACAGCATCAGAGGAATCCCTTTATGTGTGGGTCCCCAGGCCAGGTTGGAGGACCCATGGTTCTGCACATTTCTTTTCTGCCATGCATGGTAAATGGTGTTTCGATGTGTCCTTTCTCCTCTATCCATATGGCTGCCACTTGCAGTTCAGTTATAAGACTTAATTGAACTGTGTGTAGCTCTGCAGCCTAGTTTTCTTCATCTCTCTCCCAGTGACCATGGCGACCCTTTGCCAAGGAACATGTCCAACCAGCTGTTGTCCTGATGAGTTGGCCACACCAGTGGAGCCCCAGACAGGAAAGCAGAAAATGATGGGTGTTTTATAGAGTTCTGGAGGCCCATTGTCCAAGTGCCTTTCCAGCATCGGCTCCAGGTGCAGAGGAAAGCCTGAAATAAAACTGATCTGGAGGCCAGATGGGCCCCCAGCTGCTCCTCCAACTCAAATACTGAGTGCTGGTCCCTGACGCCAGCTACTGCCTCCTTTAGGGAGTTGCGCCAGATGGTCCCTGGGGCCATCATGGCTTCCCTAAGGATGTGGAGCAGCGCCAGGCTCGTGGTTGGCCTGGACCAAGATGTGTGTTTATTTCACCTTTGACCTCAAGGTCTGGCCCAGCAAGGAAATTTGAGATTTTATTGTTTTGACCTTAACAAGTTTTCATTTGAAATATAGGGTCTGATTTTTGTAATCATTAGAGGATACAGATTTCCTTGAAAGTAATCTTTTTCAGTCCCCAAGGCTTTCTTTACTCATTCTGCAACCACCAGATATCCATTCTATGCCATGCACCTAATATGCTTGGTCTTTAACTTTGGCAGTTATCACTGTCATCATTAACATCCGAGATAATGATATAGTGATTGTTGATTATTGAAAACACAATATACGCTGGTACAGTACTTAAAACCACAAAGTTATAAAACTTGGATTTCTGGAAGAAGCCATACATGAGGTGAACATATCTGACCTCAACTACTCAAGGGGCTAATGTACGAGGATCACAAGTTCGATCTCTGCCTGGGCAACTTAGCAAGACCCTGTTTCAAAAAATTTAATTTTTGTAAAAAGAAAGGGCTGGCATGTAGCTCAGCAGAGTACTTGCCTAGCATGTGTAAGGTTTAGATACCATACCCAGTACCATGAAAATCTCTTAACAGATCGTTTGCATGCAATGTTATTTGTAGCTTAAAGTGAGTTTACTGGAGGAACTGCTTTGAATGACAATCTTCCTAGAAGCATTTAAATACATTTTCTTGGGGGGTGTAAAAGGGAAGGATTAGATTTGCTCGATGCATACTATATGCATGCATGGAGATGTTACACTGAACCCCATTAATATGTGCAATTAATACATGTTTAGAAGAAAAATATTAAATATGCTTATGGTTGTTCAGAAAAAGACATAGGATTGGGGTATAACTCAATAGGACAGCACTTACTGGGGTCCTGTCCCCAATATCACAAAAACAAAAAGTTCCCACCCTTGTCACCTCATCTAACCCTAATTCCCTCCCAAAAACCTCTCTTCCAAATACCATTAAATGTGGTATTATAAGTTGAACTAAATTCAGAAATTTTAAATCTTTAAATATTTATTGCCTACTCCTTTCTACTTTGAGAATTCTAATTATATGAATATAAGTTTCTTGGTTTTGACACAGAACTATTATGACTGATCTGTAAATTCTTCATTTTTATTTGGACAATTTTTATTGTTATATTCATTTATGTTTGTAAATAATTTATTTTCAATTTGCAATCTATTAAAAAATTAAAATAAAAAAGAAATATCATTAACATATGATTTGGGGAGATAAGTGCAAAACACGTGAATTGTGGGGGACACATCCAAATCGTAGCAGGCTTCCTGAGTGTCAAGCAAGATGAATTATGCAGCGGGTTCTTACTGGCCAGGCCCTCGCCACTCCCATGGGAATGCTGAACATTCTGTTCTCTGCCCTCTGTTTCCACAGTATACGCCAGGCGCCTTCTACTGCCCAGTCAATGCACACCCTCTGTACCACTGGCTTGAGGTTCTGGCCCTTCCCTGGATCAGTGTTTGCCAGTCCCTCTCTTTTTCCACATTGCATTTCCATCCCTGCCTTGGAGCAGTTTTCTTGTTATCTGGATCAGTGTCTTTGAATCCATGCCCATAGCAAGGCTTTTGCCTGCTCTTCCAGCGAGCAGTTCTTCATAAATGTGCCCCTGCCCCCTGTCCTTTTGCCTTTAGGCTTCACGTATAAGGTAGATGTTTTCCTCTCCTTTGTCTCTTTATTGGGTACTCTCTTCAATGTTCAACAGTTTTGACCCAAAATAACATCATTGAAGAGCAAAGAAAGAGTTAAACGTAGCTTGTGGGAAGAGTTTGAGGGTTGTGGTCAGGGCAGGGAGATGCCTATAAAATGGAAATCAGATGCCTTCTACAGAATGCCAGGCCTAGATTTGCTGTATACAGTTAAATGGCTTTATTTACCTTCAACTCTGTAAATACATCAGTATCACTATTTAAATATCTGACTCTTCCCACTCGGAAACCACAGCACATAAGCTTGCATGTGTTGGTTGCTGGCAAATACTGTAGTTGTTCTGTATCCACCATGATCTGAAAGAATCCTCAAGGGAGACTTGGGAAGGCATGTCTCTTGGGTGCAGAAGTTTCTTGTTCAGTGATAAAATTTTTGTCTGGTTTACGTGCAGTCTTGGAATATCATTTCTGCCTAATGCTTCTCAAGAAAAAGCCATTGTCTTTAAAATATCTTAAATATCTTACAGTGAACTGTGCTATGGTTTCTTCCCTAGGACAGTTCATCTGTCATCCAGTTCATGGCTCGAGCCAAGGTGAAGGTGGACCCTGCCCTGCAGGTGGTGGAGATAGCCAATGGGAGCCCAGAAGAAATGATGGTGAGTCAGCACCTGCCACAGCCCTCCTCAGACACCAAGTAAAGCGGAGTGATTTGTGATGTGGAGCTGGAATCTGAGGGCAGACATCTCTGAGCCAAGCAGACTTTGTGGTAGACCCCAGACCATACTGCCTTGGCTTCTTCTGCAGTTGCTCTTGTTGTGATAGCATTGTTCGATAAGATCCCATTGTGCGAACATTTCCTGCTGCAATTGGTTAAAGGAAAAATAGTCTGGAAGTACCCTTGGTGGTCTTGTTTTTCCATTCTGAATCCAGGACTATTTTTGTCTTTCTTAGACTTTTCTCTGAAACCTCTTCTACCTTTCCAGTCACAGTCTTCTGTGGATAAACACTAGGTGTCCCTAAAACAAGTTGTTTGCTTAACTTGGAGAGGTCACATCCTTATTGTCAAGACCTAGAACCTTGTGTCTCACTCCTAGCCTGCCCACTTATCCTCTACAGCATGCAGTTGGTAGGCAGCTCTCAGGGTCATGGGAGGGTGAGGCAAACACCAAGGCTTACCTATGGGAGTGAGGGAGAGGCTAGCAGTGAACTGTGGCTAGCATTCTGCCTCTATTATTGCTGTCCATTGTTTGACCTCCACAGTCAGGTCCTAGAGGACCAGAGGTCCAGTAAGCTTCGCGATGATGCTTCCTTTTAGCACCTCACCCAGAGACTGTACCTTCTCAAGGGAGACTTACCCTCTCATAGAAGAGCCAATGTTAATATGGCAAATTTACAAAGTGATAAGTTTGTAAAAGGTTACATATTTAACATGAAAATAGTATATTAATTTATTTTCTGAAAATGGAAATGCTACATGTTAAAAGGATGAAGATTTGACCAAATCCCATTCTTTCAAGACTCTGGCTGGGAAAGGTTCCTACAGAAAACAAATCCTTTGCAATTTCAAGAAAAGTTCAGTACTGTTCTTGGTTTTGGTGACCAAAAGATGAGAGCAACTGTGATCCCTGAATGATCAAGAATGCCTAAATGAGTGCGGGCTGGTATGAAGGGCCAGGCATCCCACAGGCTCTGCAGGGGTGGTGTAAGGACCAGTTTACTCATTGCTGGACAAAATACCTGACAACTAAAATGTAAGGCTTTATTTGGCCATAGTTTTAGGGTTCAGGCCATGATCCTGTGGCCCCATGAAGCATCCCGGCTGAAGGCAGAGCAAAACTAAGGGGCTTAGTTCATGGCAGCTGGGAAGCAGAGCACAGGGGGAATTTCTATTATCAGACCTCCAACAGAACCCCACCTTCCCACAGCACATTCACCTCTGGATTAATCCACTAAGGAATAGGGCATCCCCATGACCCAGTTGCCTTTCTGGGAGTCTTTTAATCTAATCACGCTGAAAATTAAGCTTATTCATCACTGATGGACAGTGAGAGACCTGGATTCCTCTAATTACCCAAATTAGCATCCATACAAGCACTAGTCTTAATAATAGAAATGATAAGAAAAGTGCTCAAGTCTTTCACTACTTATGCCTACTTTTTTCAGTTGGCTAAAAAAGTCAGATATTTTCATTTGGCTTTGGTTTTTGTCCTTCCTTCTGGCCATTTGACTGCCAATTCAGACCTTTCCCTAGGAAGTGGGAGGAGGCCAGAGCTTTGCTGTCATAGCTCTGATTACAGTTATGTAGAATGAAGTATGTGTTGTATCATCAGAGGTTTAGAATTTTCTGGTAGACCAGAGTGTGAACATTTAGAGCCAGTGGAAATAATGAACAGGTTTCCTACAGATGAAAGCACTGGGCAGATGGGTAAAAGCACTGGGAACACAGCCTTTTATTAGAAGAGTAAGCTTGGAGCCCAAGAAGTCATTGCTTAACATCCTGTTGTGCAATTCTAAGTCATCTGTCTTCCCCTAGGATAGTATTTCCATCAATTTCATTGTTTCATTTTGAGCATGGGGATAATTTTATCATTAAGAGTTCTGAGGAAGGGCCCGCAGGATAGCTTAGGGACTAAGCTCCTGCTTAGGCAAGTGCAAGGACCAGGGTTCAATCTCTGGCACCACTCGCCGTGCCAGCCACCCTCCCACCCCAGTGTGTGGTGGCGCATGCCTGTAATCCTAGTTCCTAGTGCTGGGGAGGCTAAAAATAAGAGAATCACCACAAGTCCCAGCTGCATACTGAGACCCTGTACCAAATACATTAAAAAAAAAAAAAAAAAGTCTTGAGGAATAAGCTAGTTTTTTTTTGCCATATTCCCAAGAAAACATTAACATTGTCAAGAATTCCAAAATCCCCTCCTTTCCATGATTGCCTTCTCAGTCTGTAAACTGAGATGAAGTTTTGCATTGTGTTCTCAACTTTCCTGGCAGGGAAAGAATATCTTTTATAAGTAGGAAGGTTTTCATGTTTAGAACAAGCACATTTTTCCCTGCATGACTCTCTGAATGCCTGGCTTTCTGTCAGCCATCCATCTGAAGGGGAATTTTCATAGAGGATAGCCACCAAATTTAAATCAGGTCCAGTTTCACAAGATTTCAGATTCAGCACTGAGTTATTATGGCCTTGGAATGAGCAGGATGTGTACTTGAGTCTGGTATCCAGCAGGCTGTGGATGAAAAAAGGAAAACAATCAGGTGGGGTTCTTTTGGTTTTTAACCACAAAGAGTACATAGTGGTAAATTTGACTGATAGGAAAATCAAAGAATTTTTGTATCATTGTGTCTTTTTTAAAAAATCTTTCATTTATTTGGTACAGGATCTTACTACATAGCTTAGACTCATAGTGATCTTCCTATCTCAGCCTTCCTAGTGCTGGGATTACAGGCATGTGCCACCATGCCTGCTTTTGGTGGCCAGCATGGCATGAGGTACTGGGGATCAATACTGGGTCCTTGGGGGTCGGGGAGATAGTTCAGTAGAATAAGCGCTTACCTGGCAAGCGCAAGGGCCTGAGTTTAATCCCTGGTTCTGAAAAAAAAAAAAAAAAAAGGTTCTTTTGCTTGGCAGGCAAGCACTTAGATCACCAAGCTTTTTCCTCAACCCCTTTGTGTCTTTTATACCAAGGTACAAGACTGTTGTACAAAGCATTTGGGTGAAAAACTAGAACTATATATTTGATTCTTAAGGTATTTGCCTTGTGTGTGATAAACATATATGAATATTATATATACATATGCATGTCTATATGCATGTGCCTTGGTTCACAAATGTAATTCTTTCCACCATTCTTATTGCAAACAACCAGATGAGAACGGAATCAGACTTCCCTATGAGGTTGACACTGAACCTGACCATTGCATTTGATTTGGTTCTCTTCCAATCGGGTATGCAACCAGATTGGTTTAAAGAATTAAGTTCATGAACCGAGGTAGCACCATATGCAGGTATAAAAGCTCCAGACTGCTTCCCAGGCAGCATGGTAGCACATGTTCAAGACCAGCCCAAACAAGCCTGTCTGGCTACATCCAGACCCAAAGCTGAGAAGTGCAGGCGTTGACCTCGGGATGCAGAATCAAAGTGCTGGCTTTCGAGATGCCATTCATGTGCTTAATTTCATATTCATCCCTATCCTGCCTGCTTTCCAGGGAACAAGTTAAGAAGTAAAAGGAGAGAGGATGGAAAAAACTGATTGGGATCCAGAAATATAAGTATTTGTTATGTAATCTTATAGCTGTTTGTGCCAGTAAGCTGGCCCTTATGGAGAGCAGAAATTCTTCTTTTCAAAAAGGCACAGGGGACCCCTTCCCCACAGCTTCATGTCCCATAATTTCAGTTACCTAGAGTTAAATATAGTCAGAAAATATCAAATAAATTCCAGAATTAAATAATTTGTGAATTTTAAATGAGTTTTATTGTGTTGTATTGTTATGATTGTTCTATTTTGTCATTAGGGATTGTTGTTCACTTCATATGCCTAACTTAAAAAGGAAACTTTATCATAAATACGTATATTCAAGAAAAGTATCATTTATAGGGTTTGGTACTTACTGTCCACAGTTTTAGACGTCTCCTGGGGATCTGGGAGCATTCCCCATGAGGGTAAGGGGAAGATAGATGTAGTACAGAAGGAAAATATTCTAGTATGAATTTTGTTTGTTTGTTTATTTATTTATTTATTGTATTTTAGGACAAGGTCTACAAGGTCTCACTGCATAGATCGGACTTGTAGTGATCCTTCTGTTTACAGCCTCCCAAGTGCGGGGATTACAGGTGTGCGCCACCACACCTAGCCTCACTCACCAGCTCAGGCCCTAAGCAGGACCTTTAATCCGCTGAGCTATTTGGCCAGCCCTTCTAATATGAATTTTAATGGCTCTGTTCAGGCCGCCATTAAAAAGGCACCAAAAGATTTGGTGAGCAGGACTTCCCCTGACCCCTAACCCTTGCAGTAGCTACCGAGGCCCACAGGAGAGGCAAAAGATTCAGTGCCCCATATTTTTAAGGAGAGTGATGAGACTCCACCAAAGCAAGCGGGTACTACAGAGTTGCTACTGGACTAACAGGTACTAGGAGACGCTGCGCCAAACTCCCTTCTATGTCTGCAGAAGAAGCTATACTGAATTCCTATTTTCTTGCAGTGAACTCCTCCAAGGTTCAAGCAGCAGGATATATAGTCAACATGTGAATCCCCAGATGAATAAGCAAGTGTTGGTTGTGGCAGTTGTGACTAAATCTTACATGTAAGAGGAAAAACCTGTTGTCTTGCTCCAGCAGTCAGAATGGATTGGAAGGATATCTGGGCATTCTCAGATTTGCCAGAGAAGTAAGGTCATTAAAAAGGGGTACAAGGGCCAGCCAGCTAGCTCAGTGGACTGAAGCACCTGCTTAAGCAGACACAGGGATCAGGGTTCAAAACCTGACATGTCATGCCAGCCCCACCTCTGGGGCTGGCTGAGATGGCAATTAAGACTGGCTGTGGTGGTATGTGCCTGTAATCCCAGTGCTTGGGAGGCAGAAAACAAGAGGATCACTATGAGTCCAATCTGTGTAATGAGACCCTGTAGACCCTTACTAAATACATTTAAAAAATAAAAATAA